ATCATTCTTACGTATGGCTTGCAACAAAAACTGTTTATAATATACACTACCTTACTTATAGCTTGAAACAAAAACTGTTTATAGCATACACCATTCTTACGTATGGCTTGCAACAAAAACTGTTTATAATATACACTACCTTACTTATAGCTTGAAACAAAAACTGTTTATAGCATACACCATTCTTACATATAGCTTTAAACAAAAACTGTTTATAGCATACACTCCTCTTACGCATAGCTTGGAACATAAACTGTTTATAATATGCACTACCTTACGTATAATTTGGAACAGAAAGTTTTTGCTATATACACTAGCTTATATATATAGCTTGTAACAAAACTGCTTATAATATACATAACTCTTACGAGTAATTTGAAACAGAAAGTGCTCATAATGAACGGAAGTTTAAAAACATGACTGTGTTTAACTTAATTCGTTATCTATAACAGTTGAGTGTGAGTTAACTTAATTAAGAGCGATTTCTAAACTTGGAAACATGGTCAGAACTCACTCGCACACATCTGAATATATATAAAGTTTATTTTCTAGTATCTCTAATAAGGAATTTCGTCATTCAGCGTAGTTTTGCCAACTTAAGTGTAGTTTATGAGTTTCCTTGGCTACTCGTTCTTGTGCACGTTATGCTGCATAACGCTCTTTTTTGTTTGTTTTGTTGGATTTCGCGCGAGTGTTATTTGCGCTAGCCACCCATACTTTTGAAACGATAGACTAGATCGAAGACAGAAAGTCAATACCGCTCACCGCCAACTCTTGGGTTAATCTTGTCAGGCCTTAACTTTCTGAAACCTCATATATCGTGTTTTTAGAGAGGATTTAATCATTTTATTCAGCTATCTTCTGCCTTACCTTCTGACCATCTTAGCCGACGTTTCGATCTCTATGCTAAATCATCATATATCTGTCTCTCTCTCCTTTTTTTTTCTTAGATCATGAAAGAGTTGGCAACAGAAAACCTAAAACGTTCTCAGACGTAATGATAGGAAATATCTACAAAATTTAATTGATAAGGTCTCGTGCGTTTATTTAGGTATTCAAATTTTTCAGTAGAATTCTCCAGAGAGGGGTTAAACCTAGGTTTTATTTCTTTGGTTAAAAACATAAAATAAGCCGTTCAAAGCCAAAAAATGACAATAAACACGTTAGGGGCGTTTACAGTAGGGTAATATACTTCCATAGTCCTTCCAAATCCGGGACTCTAACAAATAAAATTTGTATGGTATTTGAGCTTTTAAAGTACCGATGTAATTAGTAAATAATTTCATTACATGCCGAAAATCAACGCTTTATAATAGGTTTATTTATTATTATTAAACTACTATAATAATGCTTCAGTAATGTACAGTGCTGTTTCACCAAATTACCAAATACAAGGAATTTGCCCAACCAAGAAAGAATAGTTACAAAAAGATGAAAAGTTTTCACTCCCTGGGAAACTGTCAGGAATAAAAAACAAAGATAGTATACGTATACATATTTTTAGCTTATGGAAAAATATCCTTCCATCAAGAGGAGCGTTACTGAGAACTACCCGATCAAAAAAATTTCCAGTCAATTTCCCACAAGTGTAACTGCTGCTATAAAGCACAAAGACCATCAAGACTTTTGACGATATCATAGGATAACAATGAAAACTTTTTAACTTATTTTATTATAATATATATATACATGACCTAGTACCAATTTTAAGAAATCTACAAAGTAGCTCTTGCTTCGGTAGATATAACAGGCATAGCTGTGCCATAAATAGCGGTTGAAGAACACGAAATGTACAGAAAATTATATAGCAGATATGATATATATATATACTACGCTTGAAATTTATGAAACATCTCTAGTATCTGTGTATTTTACTTGAATGTGATGGATATGAAGCATTTGTTTAAACTGTGATGTAAACAGCTATTCTAACCTTCGTTGTCATAACTCAAGGACCACTGATCAGAAAAATTGGTTGTTTCGATAATAACATGTAATAGCCAAACTATCAAGAATGTTTAACTACGTCAATTGTGGGCTCAGCTTGTACCTGAACTGATTGGACTGGTAAACAAAATAGGTCGTTAAACTAACTAGTTACAGAATGATAGTTATTTTAGTAAAAATAGAAAATGTTACACATGTGAGATGATTACTGAAAGTCATATGAAAACTATGAAATAACTCCTACCAGATGAAGTGGGGAACTGCAAAATATAGACTTTAAGTTACGTTAAATGTTATGAATATTTTTGCAGTGACAACTTACTTCCAATACCTATTTGTTAATCAAGATCGTATTTTGCTGATGTGTTATTCGCCCCAGTGACACTTACAGATAGCTAGATGCTGGAGTTAAAATAGCTCAATACAATCATCCATACCAATATTTATATAATGCGAGATAAGTGCAAAGATAAGTTTATAACTCAACAGCACAAGCGTATAATGTTCCATTTTGCGTGTTTATCTGTGCTGTTAATCAAAATCCACTTTGTTAATTATTTCCACACCGTTATCACCATGAGAACAAATGTTTCGTATGTTGTAGCTGAAGTTATATATCTCGAACACTGTTTAAAGGATTAAGAGTAAATTTCGTAGCTTACATTAATTATACCTATTATAATTCATAATACATAAGCTCCAATCCTGTTTATGTATCATAACAAACTACACTCACTAAAATGTCTAACAAGAAAGTAAAGTTGCTGTCAAATCATCCACTCTGTACTTGCAGTGTTAACGGGAGTTAATCAGAAGATATCTATATCTATACTTAATACCCAGTTGAAAAATCTAGGTATTATTGCTTTTCATTCAATATCAAAGTCAGTTATAATGGAAGCCACATATCAAAAATATATCTTACTATAAAAATAAGTTGTGAAAAAAACAATAGTTTACTGCTTATGCTACAAATGCTAAAAGCAATAACACGATATTTACTGCAATTCCCATTTTCTGCAACATATACCTTTACTAAAATACAAAATGTGTTACAGACCAACAAATTCACGTCTTCACTTAAACAAAGGATTTTTCAACGTTTATTACTTAACAAGAAACGCGTGGCGTTACTTAAACCCAGGTTTCTTAAATGCTTCTTTACCGAAACAAGCGATTCTTTAACGTATATTATTATTTACTGATAAGTTTGCATTTTTACTTAAACACAAGATTCTTCAACGTACGTAATTATTCGACAATAAATACGCATCCTTTCTTAAATACAAATGTTTTCACGTACATTTAACAATACTTCTCGTTACCTAAATACAATATTAATCAATGTATATTATTTAAAGTAAAAGACATGAGCTTCATAGGTGAAAACTTCCTAAAAATATCAATAAATCTTTCATTTAAACAGAAACCTTTTCAATGAAATTTTTTACCAATTCTTTATTTAAACTCTATAACTTTATTAGTACATACTTTGTAAGAATATAGTTAGTAAGTTAAATAGAAACGTTTTAAGAAGCTAATTTCATGCAAGCCTCTTTTCAAGCTAAAACAGTACTTACTTTTTACGACAATCTGAAATAACTTCATATACATAGTTAATCATTTGTTTTTGTAAAACACCCATCCGTTTTGATTTTTCTATTTATCTGGGTTTTTTTGGGTTATTTGGGTTTTTTAAATTGACAATTAACAACAAATTCTATAAATTTATAGCTCTGTGCAATAATTCCAGTGTGATTACAGACTCCATAATTTTCGTAGGAAAGTTGA